AGACCCAGCAGAGCTGGATTTAGATCCCGCAACGCTGGCTGGATGCCTGTTCCCTGCCTAAACCCCCCCTAGCCGAGGGCAGGGGCGTGAGGAAACCACTGGTGTTGAACTTTAGATACTTAGGTGGTGCAGCGGGGCTTCTGCTGGCTCCCAAGGCAGCTGAAAACTGCTGCTACTCTGGAGAGGCTGCAACCCTTCACTGGAGAATGGTTGGCATCGGGCACAGCTTGGAGGCTGTCCTGTGGGATAACTGAGAAAACTCTAAGACAGGCACCATCCCATGATCTGTAGGGTCTGCAGGCATACACAGCTCTGCTGGCACCACTTGGGAGGGTCTCTGCTATGCCATCGTCATAGGAGACTGACAGGCAGCACTTATATGTAACCCCTTGAGGCATCCTCACTTCATGCCAGTGCCCTGCTTGGCCCCACATAGCAGCCACCAGAGCTCAGCCACAGGAAAGGAGCAGGGTCAGACACAGCACCGCATGGGAATGTCAGCAGCACTGCTGAGAGCCAGGCTGGGGTTGTCATTTTGCAGGACCTGCATGCTGGTTTGTTTGGGGAGAGGTATTTCATTGCAAAATGTCCCTTGCAGGGAGATGCAGGCTAGTGGCAAAAGAGGTGGGAACAAGGAGAACCGGAGTAGCCCAAAGCAGCTGGCACTGGTAAGAGGTGAGCAAAGGTGACACTGTCAGGGCGACAGGGTAACGAGGGTCTGACATTTTGGGTTTTGCCTTTGCCCTGTTCCTCGGCAGTCAAACCACAAGTGTGAGTTTGGGGCTTGCAAGACCGTGCTCCTCAGATGGGGAAGTCCTGCTCCTCAGCTTTATCCCTGTCACTTTCTCCATTTGTGCCTTCTAGCTCTGTTTGTCTCCTGTGCAATGACAGGAACCACAGAGCTAAGATCCCAGGAGCACCAGCTGTGGGAATGCAGCATGGTTTCCCAGCTTTCCCTGGGGAAAGCCCAGGAGCTGTGTCCCACATGGGCGCTCCTGCTCGGCACTTTGCAGTGCCTGCCTGCAGCCGAGGTTAGCGCAGAACTGCGGGTGAGGAATTGGAGCTGCCACGCAGGGAGCTGCTGGGGAATAGCTGCCATGCTTTACATTCACAGCCCATCTATTTTGCAATAACTTCACCATGATGTTCCCACATAGACAAGCCTAAGCTAGCATAGATAATGAAATGGGTTAAAGGAGACAGGCGGAGGGAGAGGAAAGGAGCCAGCAAACTGGTAGTAAATCAGGGAGAGAACAGGGTTACTTTAAATTCAAGGTCTTGGTGGCAGGGCAAGTTTGGTTTGTGCCAAGAGATGTTGTTGGGGAAGACAACAGTGGGGTTGTGGGGCCACCAACCTGTGTCCCCCAACAAACCTCACCTTGCTCCTGTCATTCCCCTGTGCCTGCCCCATGTGCATCACTGGGATTAAGCAGAGCCAAGGGCACCCATCCTGGGTGGTAAAGCATGGTCAGAGGATCCTGAAGGATCAGGCAGTGGGCTCTGCTCTTCACAGGGGAAGGTCCTGCATCAGCTCTTGGTCAGGGCCTGGAGAGACCCAACTACTGAGACTCCCCCACCTTTGGCACGGGCTTCGAGGCAGTCCAAACAAGCTAATTAAATCCTGCTCTGCTTAATCAGAGCCATTGAGCACCAGTCAGAAGAAATTAATCCCGTGTTTTATTAGATGCCGTTTGAAGTAGTGTTTGGCACCTTGTCCTCAGTTCTCATCTCCTTCTGGGGAAGGAAGAAGGACATCTGTGGGGAAGAGCGAGGGTGCAGCAGATGGCAGCGGGGATGATTCAGGGGCTCGAGGAAGGAGCTGCGACTCCAGCGGCATCCCTGGGGGGGGAACGAGACACCTCTCCCTGCATCCCACAGCCTACCCCTCCCCACAGATGAGAGTCTGTGAGCCAGGCAGGCATCCCAAAAATACATGTTCCTCCGCATTGCATGCTAATGGCTCTGCTCGAGAGGTCCCACCGCAATTAAAGCACAAGGAGCATTAATATGCAACGTGGAGAGGCCACTCTTCCCACAGCTACTCCCTCCCAAACCTGTCCTTCCTGCTGCACATCCCTGCCCACTGGGAGCCTGCCCACGGGGATCCCACAGCAGTCTCAGCGGAGCCGCTGGCAGTGTGCAGTAAATTTGAGCCTTCCCTTTGCTGTGCCCAGGGGATGCTGCCTTTTCCCCCGGCACCTTCTCCTGCCTTTGGGCTCAGTGGAACAGGATCTGTTGGGTACCCACCAGGTGGGTGCCATGCAACGCAGCCCTGGCACAGGAGACACCCCGACATCTGGGAGAAATCCACAGGCGGGTGTTTAAAACAACCAGCTGGGTGATGGTTTGGGGTTTTTAATGACTTCTGGTGCTTAAATTGCTGCAACCCAAGAAAAACTCCTGATGAAGAGAAAGTCTGGCCAAATAAGGTAGCCCACAGGTCACCCTCCGCACCTTGGGAGCACTCGGTAGCCTTGGTACATCCTCCTGCAACTCAGCTAGATGAAGCTGCTGGCTTTGGGTGTGGGGATTTATTTTTTCCTAAATTTCCTGTCATAACTTGCGTTAAAACTTTGCAGAGCCACTTAATTGCCTTCTGCGGTGGTGATGATATGAAATTAGTCTCCCTTCTGATCTTTAGCTACGTTGGTCCAAAGCACCAGCTCATAATTTGCTCTAATCATCAGGTCGTGGAAGATGCGAAGGCAGGGCCGGTGCCCGGTGAATTCACACGGGCTGGGAGTTTCCGCCCTTGCTGTGCCAGAGTCTGGCAGCTGGCAGGTCGGGCTCTGCCACCCTGGGATGGCAATATTGATAATTTCTTTTGGTGCCACTTTTGGGAGTTTTTCATCAACTGCTCTCGATTGTTTCCTCTAGAAAAAGCTGGGAACTACAGCTGTCCGGAAGAAAGGAGGGAAAGCCGAGGTTGTTTTCTGTCTCCCTTCTCAGCCTGCTCTCTCCTCTGAGCATCTCAGAAACATCTTTTGCTTCTGTCTGGAGACCTGGAACCAGACTGCTGAAGGCACCTGGAGAGGAAAGGATCCTGTCTCCCATCCCACTTCCCTGGGCTTGCTTCATGTTCTGAACCACTCCAGGGGTTGGGGAGAGGAAGTGGCTGGGTTTTGCCTACCCACCTATGCCAGAAAATCAGAGTTACAAGAAAACAAGCTCCCGATGAACAGAAGAAGGCAGGGCAATATTCTGGGCACAGAGAGGTCCTTTTGCTGCTGAGGGCACAGCGCCCATCATTCCAGTGGCATTAGTGCTTTCCACCTCCACGCAGGAGGTACAGGATATCATGGTATTATTTTTAACCAGGGATATTTAGTGAACTCCTCACGTGCTGCTGGAGGGTCAGATTTATCCCATAGCCTCAGTCCCAGGGGACACTCCCAGTTATTTTTGAAGCCATCAGAGCAGCAGAGGAGCAGAGGGATGCAAAGGCTTGGGAGACACAAAGTCTGGGGTTTGTCTGGCCTGTCCCTCTGGTCTGTGCTGCAGAGGCGTGCATGGAGCAGAGCCCCACATGCCTGCCTTGTCATCGCTTCTGTCACCTCGGCTCCCACCATAAAACCCAAAACTTGGGCGAAGCCCCAGGTTTTCCTTTTCTTCTGAGACGATCTTGGAGTCCTGCAAGTTTTTATCCTTTTCGACCTACCGCATTGCAAGACTTTTTTTCTTCTCCCCACCCCCCAGTTCAATTTAAACCACAATTTAACCTGTGAACGAGTTTGGCCCTGCTCAGGCAGGTCCCGATGGCCGTGAACATTCCCACGGGCGCCGCGGCGCTGCCGCCGCCGCGGGAGTCCCTCCCACGCCCCGCGGCTCCCCACGCCGCCGCCCCGGGGCTCCCTGCCCTCGCACGGAGCGCATGGCTCCGCTCACACCCGAGGTCCCCGTGTTTGCAGTGCAACCTCCCGGTTCTAGCAGCGGGTAACTCCTCACACAGCCGCAGCCAAGCGCGCAGCCGCCGGCCCGGCTGGTTTTTGTTCAGCCACTCACTTCGGGGGTAGAGGTGAGGCCAGGGCAGGGGGAAGGAGCTGTTGGAAGCCCTTGTTTTTGTGCTGCTCCAACATCCGTCCCCACGGGCACCGCCACCCGAGGCCGGCACCGGTGCTCACTTTGGTTCTGCAGAAACAGATGCTGGTGGGGCGAGGGGCGCAAAGCCCCGACTTTTAAATTAGAGGCGCCCTGCCCAAGCCCCGGAGAGAGGCAGAAGGTCTCCCCACAGCCCGCCCTGCGCGACCCCCACCCAGCCCGCAGGGGGTGGCTTCCCCCGCGTGTTTTTAAGGGCAGCGAGGCGAACACGACCCGTGGCTGGAGCTGGCAGCCAGGACAGGCTGGCCCCGGGCTCCGCTCAGGGCTCCGCGCAGCCGGGTGCGCCCGGCCCCGGGGTGACCGCCGGCGGCGCGGGGCCGGGGTGCGCGGCGCCGGGCGGGACCCGCCGGGGCCGGTCCGGAGGAGAAGGCGGCGTGCCCAGCCCCCGGCCGCCTCCCTTCTTCCTTCTCCCTGCGCCTGCCTCCCGCCGGGTCCGTCCCGCCCGGCGCCGCGGAGCGGCAGCGCCCGCCCGGCCGCACCGCGCTCCCCGCGCCCCCCCCGACGGGCGGTTTCAAGTCCCCCCTTCCGAGGTCTCCGCGGCGCCGGCCAATCAGCGCGCGCTGCGCGCCGCGGCCCGCCGCCTTAAAGGGCCCGCGCGCCGCGCGGCGCCGGGGAAGCGGCGCCGCCCGCGGGCCGAGCCGGGCGCGCTCTAGGACCGCGCGCCGCCGCCGCCCGCCCTCCCTGCCCGCCGCGGGAGGCCGCCCGCCGCCTCCGGAGCGGGGCGTGTTGCCGGGAGGCCCCGCCCCCGCCGGGCGCTGATTGGCGGGAGCGGGCGCCCGTCGGCGGCGGGGGCGGCGCCCGGCGCGGCCACGTTCGGGTGCGCGGCCAGCGGCGCGTTGGGCGCAGCGAGCGGCGGCGGGCGCGGGGCGATGGGGGCGCGGCGGCGGCCGGCGCTCTGACAGCCCCCGGCGCTCCCTCGGCGGCGGGCGCAGCGGCTCCGGCGGCAGCGGCGGCGGCTCTCGGCGGCCGCCTCCCTCCTGCTCGGCGCGGACCATGTTCGCCAAAGGGAAGGGCTCGGCGGTGCCCTCGGACGGGCAGGCGCGGGAGAAGTAAGAGCGGCGGTGGCGGCGGCGGGGGGAGCGGGGCGGCGGTGGCGGCGGGCGGCTTTGTGCGGGGCGGGAGCGGGGCTCCTGTTCCTCCTCCGACCCGGCGCTCGGCTGTTGCAGGCTGGCGCTGTACGTCTACGAGTACCTGCTGCACGTCGGCGCCCAGAAGTCTGCGCAGACCTTCCTGTCCGAGGTGAGCCCCGCCGCCCCCCGCGCCCTTTGTGCGCCGCCGCACGCCCGCCCTCCATCTTGCGCGGGGCGGCGGCGGCGCCGGGGGGTCGTCGCGCGTGGGGGCCCACGCCCACCCGCGACCACCCCCCACCCGCGCCGCCCCCCCCTCCCAACCCACCACCCCCCCTCCGTCTTCCTCTTGCCCGCAGATCCGGTGGGAGAAGAACATCACTCTGGGCGAGCCCCCCGGCTTCCTGCACTCCTGGTGGTGGTAAGTGCGGGGGTGTCCCGTCGCGGGTGGGAGCAGCCCCCGGGGGCGGGGGGGTGCGCGCCGGTGGCGCGGGGCCCCACGGGGTGCAGCCCCGGTAGTGGCGTGAGTCAGCAGCGGCGGCGAGCCCCGAACCGCCCCGGCTCCCGCTCCCCGCGGGCGTCGAGGCGCGGCGGAGCCACCCCCGGCCCCGCGGGAGCGGCGGGCAGGGCTCCCGCTGGAGAGCTGCCGGGCCAGCCGCAGGCACCGGGCTGTGCCGGTGCCACTGGGCCGCCCAGGGGAGCAGGGCTGGGCGGCTGCGAGGTTGGGAGAAGTCCCTGAAGTCCCACGGGGTGTTATCCCTTCAAGGTGTTGCCTCTTGAAGGCTAGTTTTGCTTCCTTAAGCGCCCAGCATCCCCAGTCCCGACGGTCAGATCCGCGTAGTGTAAAGCTGGGATGCCCAGCTGGATCCAGCTGAGGTCCCATCCCAGCTGTGGGCCCCGGGGGCTGGGAAGCCGCTCACTTGCGCTGACCTGGGTGCCCGATCCCTGATGAGTGACTGCTCTTCTCCCATCTCTCCCTGCCGTGCAGCGTGTTTTGGGACCTGTACTGCGCAGCTCCCGAAAGGCGAGACACTTGTGAACATTCGAGTGAAGCCAAAGCCTTTCATGACTACGTGAGTAACAAGTTTCTAATCCTCGCGGTAATTACGGCGTTGGGGAGCTCCGGCGCACCAAGTGCCAACCTAACGTAACCGGCTGGCAAAAAGTGTGGGGTTTTTTTTAACCAGCAATGTTCTGATTTGACTGAACAGTATTTCATAATGTTGCAATTATGTAAATGAGCTCAGATACTTATCTTAAGCACTTAAAGGCATTCGGGCTAGTGGTAGAATTAAGAACTTTTGCATAGCAATGGACAACAAAGCGTTTATATGGCAAGATATTTCATGCTGAGGATACTGTGGTGGTGAGATGTTCCATGCTGAGGGCACCTTGCAGGATGGGTGGGGGTTGGATTTTGGTGGGGAGGAGAAGGGGGAATTCCCCAAACCACTGTTGAATGCCTTAGTTAATATCTCCCTGCCTTTGGCAAGGCTGGGGGCTTCCTTGGTTTCCCGAGTCCTCCCTTGATCCCAGCAAGGGAGAGGTGTTGTCTTGTTGAAGCTGATGGTTGGTTGGTCGTTGTGCATCTTGGCTCTCCATGGTTTGGGTTGCAGAGGTGGCAGCATGACCCAGGGATGGATGGTGCTTCAGGGGTGTCATGCTTGAGTCTGAGGTGTCTCCCAAGGAATCCCTCTTGAGAAGGGGGCATGGCATGCCTGCCTGCCCCATGGGTGTTGGGTGGGCTGCCCACTCTGGTCCTGCACACGGTACCCGCATCCACAGCGTTGGGAGGAATTTGCATCAAAGGATTAGTCACCTGGCTGCGGGCTTGGACCCCAGTCAAGTGTGTTTCAGCCTCGTAGCAGGAGCTGGTTTTGTCTGCTCCAGGGAGACTATGGTATGGAAACCATTTTTCCTCCCTTCCCAAGTTTCTCGTTGCCCTGACATGCCTGGCTTGGGATGTGTGAGGGTTTGCTGGTGAGCAGTGCCGGGCGAGCGTCTCGGGGACCTCCACGGCGCTCTCACACGCTGGCACTGGGCACAGTGGTTGCCCTGGGGCACGGGCAGTGCCAGAGAGGCTGGGCTGGCTGCTGAGCTGCCTCTTGTTTCTTCCCACCCTGCTGGGTCTTGGGGGAAGTGTCTGGGTATTTGCTAGGTGGGGTTTGTCTGTCTGTCGGTCCATCCCTGCGGCCGCTGTCTGCATTGCTTGTTTTCACTGGGTCGGATTAAGATGATGAACTCCTGAACCAAGGGTCAGAGATGATAACCAGCTGCACGTCTAGCAGTTGTTGGCTTCTGCTCGCTTCCGAAATGTTTTGGGGCAAATTGTGGGGGGTTTGGGAGCCCAGATGGGCTCATCAGGAGCAAAGCAAAGGTAGATCTATGGGCAGCAGAGCCACAGGTGAAGATGACATTAGCAAGCAAGACCTGGTAATGCTCCATCCACAGCAGCCTCCTCGTTGTGTCTGAGGATTTAGTGTATTTAGAGAAATTAATCTTTTTTTAGCTTGGTAATAATTCTAACAATAGGCCTGAGTGCATTAGATGATTCGCATAAACTTCTTTAATACACGTTGCTTTAAGCTTACAGTAAATAGACACAATCCTGATTGTTTTTAATTCTCAGTGTAATGCAGTTTTCTAACAGCCCCAAGTGCTTTACCTTTTGAGTAACTCCTAAGATTTTTCACTCCCCTGTGCTTTGGCTTGGTGGCACTGGGTTGGTTTCCCCAGGCATGTTTTGGCCCCAAGACAGGGCTTGTGCTTCTCCGTGGCGTGGCTGGTGACGGATGCTCAGGGTACAGTCCCTCTCTGAGGAGTGGTGTTTTCCTGGCACAGAGTGTACTTTGCAGGGCGAGGGACCTGCCTGGCCAAAACTTAAATATTGACCGAAGAACCGAATGATAACCATGGGAGTGTGAATAGAGCCTTGTTTCTCTGCAGCTTCTGGGCAGGCTGCTGGTACCATTGAGCGTGGTAGGCAGTGTCAAACACCAAACCCAGCGACCCATCAGTGGTGCGTGGCAGCTAAAATGGGATATGAGCCCCAAATGGGACTGGATCAGTGAGTCGTGAATTGCTTCATGTGGTGGTTGTGGTTAAAAATATCCCAGTCTAAGTCTTGCCCCAGGTTGGTAGAGTGTTGTATTTACACTTGGCCAGCAATGGGCAAATTCCATGTGTCCTGCTTGGTGTTTGCCCAAAATATGGTGTGTGTTAACCCAGAGACTGTGTTAGGGTAAGGACAGAAAGAGGGGATGCTTTGGGAGCCTGGCATGTCACTTTCCCAGAGCCAGCACTGGAGGGGTTCTAGCCCAGGGCACAAACCTTTTGGGAAAGGGGAGTAGTTCTCCTTGGTAGCAGGGTGGCATATGCATGGTGTGTCATTTCCACTTTGTTTTTCAGCATAACTGTATGAAAACTGTTAGGAGCAGCAGGACAAATTACCGTTTTTCCCCCTCCAGTTTTGAGTGTTTATAAATCTCCGGTGAGAAATTAAAGGAAGGAAATTAAGAAAGTAAGGAGAAATCCCACCACTTTCTTTTTTTTGAGGGGACCCTTGAAAACTGTGGGGTCTTATGAGTGCTTGGAAATACTTCTTTTTACCATTCCACTGAGGTTTTTCTCCCAGGGTGGGACAAAAGCCTGCTGGGACTTTGTAGAAAACTGCTTGTTGGGAGAAGAGTGATGGGAGTGGGAATTCACCTGACACAGGCAGGAGGAATGCTGCTCTGCTCTACCCTTCCGTCTCTGGCAGGTCTGTGCGTCTGCTAACACAACTATTGAGCTGTGTTGGTTGGAGGGTTGTTAGTCATCCTCTTCCACCAGTATCCAAAGAGTTTATCCAAGCTAACAACCCCACGAGCACTCACCAACTCCTAAAACTCAACCTGTAGCCATTGATTTAGGTTCCTCCAAGCCCCGTGGCGAGCATGCCAGCGTTCCGGCACGCTCCCGGAGCCGGCGAGCTTGCAACGGGATCGCTCGTCATGACAGGGGATTTCAGCCGCTGCGTTATCTGGGAATTGGCCGATGGCTGGTCGCAGTTGAGCATTTCAACGCCGTGAAAGCCAATACAATTTGAGTTAGCGGTGATGACTGCCAGTTTAAATACCGCAGTGAATTTCTGTCAAAGAGCTAATACATAGAAAGGGGAATTGCAGAAAACTTGATCACCAGAACCACTTCAGTCGATTTTGGCCTCGAGCTACAGAAAATGAACTTAAATCTAGTTGACTGTTGCTACATACTTTTTTTGTGGTATTGCTCTGCCTGCACAGCCAGCTCATGTCAACATGTAGGAGAGAAAATTCAGGGTAGCCTTTAGCTGATGAAGACTTTGACTTCATCATTCCCTAGTTCTGTTTTCCCCCAGTTTCCTCCTGAGAAGGACCTGCACTTGGGAGCATTTGAAAAGCTATTTTCTTTCCAGCACAAGATCTGCCGAGCTGTGGCTTCAACTTGCCATTAACGCAAAGCATTGATTTATTTGTTTTTGTTTTTAACTTTGGAAAGCTGCTGCAGTTCTTTCTAACTTGGGTCTGGAAGGATGCTCTGCAGCAGTGGGGGTGGTTGCTGCTGGAGGTGCAGTGGTTGGACTGGGAAAAGATGGTGTGTTTGGGGCTCTTGTCCTCCTATCTTGGTTGGGGACAGCCAGAGCTCCTCCTTTTTCACCCATCTGAAGCAGTTCCCCTTAGAGATATCTTGGGGGGTTCTGAATCTCATGTGGATGGATGGATGGAGAATTCAGGCTTGCTGGAGTTAGTGTGCTCAGTGGAAACAAGGTAAAGCCCGAGAGGCTGGACGACTTGGGCCTGCTTGCTGTACAGAGATGTCCTAGAGATGGTTCTTCTGTGCTGAATCTGCCAATCACACGCCCACCCAGGTGTGGGACAGGCACCCCATCCCAGCGTCACTACCTGGGTATTCTTGGGCTGCAGGGGAGCATTTCCTTGTCACAGCACCACCTCCTCGCTAGGGTCTGTGTGGCCAACTCATGGCATGGTGCCCTGGCAGGTGACATGGCCTTGTGGGACCCCTGGGAAGGGATGCTCTTCAGGCATGAAGGTTTTGGTGTGTCTCCTCTGCCATGCCAGGGTCTCGTTCCAGGATCAGTGAAGGTTGTAAGGCCTTGTTCAAGGCACCCGTGGCTGTGAGGGTGTGACCAGCAGGTGTGATGATCCATGAGTACTTCTGTTGAGGTGCTGCTGGTGATGGGTCCATGAGAGCTTCTCCTGTTGTGTGCAGCCAGTGCTGTGTAGGAGAAGAGGTGTTTTTGGGGCAGGTTTAGTGCAGCACAGGGACAGGGGTTGGGAACAGCTTTGTGTGGTCCCTGTGAGCCCCCACAGGCATTGCCTGAGCCCTGGGCATGTGGCTCAGTGGTGGCACTGCTCTCTCCTGTTTCCTTCCATGTGGAGCTGCGCTCCGTCTGGGCTCCATCCAGCTCTGCTCTGCAGGGACAGGGTTCCCTGGTAGGTAACCGGAGAGGGGAGTTTCCTTCAGGAGTGGCAGCTTGCCAAGAGCAGCTGCAAAACTCCACATCACTTAAAAAAAAAAAATTGCAACAAAAATAAATAAATCCAGATATTCCCTTTCCTGGCAGTGCTGGGCTCGGCCTTCCCTCCCAGTTAAGGGTACTGCTGAGCCTGGGTGTCCTTTAAAGCTTGCTCTTGCTGGAGTACCATGCAAGGGTGGATGAGTTTAATATTATATTTTAAACAACATTGGCTGTCATGACAGAGCAACCTCGGCTTCCACGTTTCCTGCTGCCCAGCAGCAGGACCAGGGCATTGTAGAGCAGCACCTTTCCACGGGTGATGCTCATGGAGAAGGCTCCATTGTGAAACTGGAGGTCAGAGCCCAGAGCTTATGTCTTAGTCTTTGACTGGGGAGCCTAAATATTTATCCTGTTCTGTCCCTAATGAAAACAAATTGTCAACAGTTGTTCAGTAACTGACTAAATTAAAATCTGTAATTAGTCAATTAGATTAAAGAGTTGGCACAACCTGATTGTATCATGCTGGTTAGGTTATTAAGAGAAAGGGTGTGATTTTTAATTACTGAATGCTAA